GTATTGCCCAAGCCAAAGATGTGACTTTCCATTATGCAAGTGAGGTAGAAGTTGGCCACATCACAACCATTCACATTCGATTGCTGAGATTCAGTTGTGTGGCTATATCTAGTTGCAAGGATAGATGCATATTATAATAGAAAAATAGATTTTGGTAGCCAATTACAACTCTCCCACACCCAGAAAAGTAGAAATAAAGGTTAATTAAACCCAAGTATAGGAGAAATCTTGGGTTTGAGCCAGTGGTTCAAAGCAGGTAGGATCGAGGCTAAGGTATTAAAGATAAGATCTTTAAAAGCTGCTAGACCTGACGTGGGTGGCATATCACTTAGAGTTCCTTGTTGCTAAAACAGCAAAAGAATTTATTAGTGATATCAGGTAGCTCATTGAATCCCTGGGAGGGCCAGGGAGTTGGCCTTGGAAGCTGGGTAGCCAGGAAGTATGCCTAATCATGTGTGGGATTATTCTAGAGAAGGCACCACAGCCATTGCTGGGCACCAACACCAGAACTCCTACTCATGACATGTGGCACTGGATACCAGTCTCACCACTGCTGTCTCCAAAATCCTGACCCCTCCATCACTGCCCTTCTCATAAGAAAACAAACAAGCAGGGCTTGCTTCTTTAAAACTGAAGTCTTGCACCACTGTGTGCAATTAACAGCGTCTGGGGCAGAGGCCTTTGCCTCAGCCACAAGGGAGGCTGGAAGAGCAAGTGGATTAGTTAGCATTAAGTTCTGCTATATATAGCCAAATAATAGCAGTGGCTTAAATAGGACAGACATCTATTTCTTATGTAAAAAGGTGTCTTGAGGTAGACAGTTAAGTGCTGGTAATGTCAGCTTCACAATGGCCTTAGTGACTTAGCTTCTTAACTTTATCTTCAGCATGTAGTTTCCCTTCTCCATGTCACCTCTTTGTCCAAAGCGGTTGCTAGAGTCCAACCATCACATCTGCATTCCAAACAGCAGGAGGGAAAAAGAGGAATGGGAGTTGCTCCCTCCCCTTTAAAGAAACTTCCAAGAAATAACATATACCCTTTCTGCTTATGATCATTGGCTAGAATGCAGTCACATTGGAAATGACATCTTTTGCCTGGGAAGTAATGTGCCCAGGAGAAATGAAGTTTCTGTGACAAAAGAAGATAGGGAGCATGGACATTGGGAAAGCAGTCTTCTACCTCAGGAAGGTGGGATTCTAATGTGAGAAATTCCCCACCTATGGGAAGAGTGTTAAGAAGACACAGATGAGAGATACCTAACAACAACGTATTATTTTTCCATATGTCCATGTCCACTTATTACCATAACAGTCACTACTATAAAATGCTCCTGCTTAGCATATGCAACCATGCCTTGTACAAATGAAAATACATTCACCCACTTTCTCCCAAAACAGACACTAAGCAAAGTGTCATCTACTGCATCCCCTTCCAAGTTTGGAATCTATGGGTAATGTTCATATTGATATTTTGAAAACGAGAGACTGAAGTGTAAAGTTAATAACCCCAAATTTGGGCAGGGTGTGGTGGTACAGGCCTGCAGTCCCAGCTACTCTAGAGGTTGGGGTGGGAGGATCTGCAAACAGAAGTTTGCAGTGAGCTATGATTGCACCTGCATATAACCAGTGCACTTCAGCCTGGACAACATAGCGAGAACTCGTCTCTGGAGAAAAAATAATAATAATAAAGGAAGGAAGAAAGAGTAAAAACAAACCCAGTTCACCCTCTATAAAATAACAAACGAAATGGGAAGTGGAAAAAAGGGAAAAATTAGGTGAGCCTGTATGATACAGTAGAAAACATGCTGCACTCAGATTTGCAAATAAGCGGTTTTGCATTTATTTACAATGCTTATAGAATGCACTTCTTTGGTGAAGAGACTCTGAAGAGATATTGCATAAGGCTTATATACTAAGCATTGGTATGAACAACCGAAAGCCCTGACCTCTCTCCGGGAACCCTCGGGGCTGGGAGGTGGGAGGGGGTCTTACTGATTTCAGCTCTAGAAGCGCGCTCAGGGGCAACGGACTGCCGCGTTTCCGGGGCTTGGCAGGCCGAGGGGAGGGGTCGCCACAAGGCCCCTCCTTTCCCCTCTCTGGAGCTCTTATAGTCTGTACCCCGGTTGTGGCCTGTCTGCAGAATCAGCACCAACAGGCACCATGCCCATGACCCTGGGGTAGTGGGACATCTGAGGGGTGAGCGAGGATTCCCTGGACGGTGGGACGAGGGCGCGGGGTGGGAAGTGTGGAGCAGCTGAGGGACGGGCTCTAGGGATCCTTCCTCTTCAGGGAGGCCCCCTCAGAAGGGCCTGTGCATGACGCTGTGTGTGTGTGTTTGGGGGTGGGGGTGGGTAGAGGAGGTGACGTTTGCGTGCAGTGTCAACTGGGGGTGTCCCTGTTGCAGACAAAGTCACCAAGTCAGGGACCCTCCATCTCTGACCCGAGCTGCGGGCCATCTCTCCCAGCTGGCCCACGCCATCCGCCTGCTCCTGGAATACACAGACTCAAGCTATGAGGAAAAGAAGTACTCTAGGGGGCATGGTAATGGCATCTTCGTGTCTGGGCCCTGCCCACTCCCGATGAGTTGGCACCAAGCAACCCATGGTGGCCACCTGTGGCTGCCTCTGCAGGCCTCTCCTGCTGGAGCTGCAGGCTGTCCCTTCCCTGAGCCCTGGTGAGGGAGCCCTCTGGCCTTGCAAGGCAGAATGCTGGGGCGGGATGCTGGGCCCCCTGTCTGGGTAACTGGGATGGGTGTACCTCAGGGCTTGCCTAAACCCTGGAAGCCTTAGTTGAGTGGGGTCCAGAGTCCTCACCG